ACACAAAGCAGCTATTTGAATAAATAAAATATTACAAAACAATTATAAAATTGTTAAATTTGATACAGAGCAGCCATTCAAATTAATAAAAATATCACAAAAACAATTTGATCATTTCAGTAGCTATATAGAAAGCAAAACTCAATAAAATATATCTAAAATGTTTGCAGTTTATTTTTATATGAATGGTCAAAGTAGAGTTTTAACATTTTTATTTTTTATTGAGTTATTGCACAAATGTAGAAGTACAGAATTCTTTTCTACAAATTATTATCCACACAGACAAAACAAAATTGTATAAATGAGAACTAATAGATATTCCTTATATGACCATTAGTATAAAATGCAGAGAAAAAATAAAAATAATACTAAATAAAACTAAATCATAGTCCAATTGCCTATTCATATACAATCTAAGTAGACTGTGGAATAAATAAAATAAAATATGAAACTAAAACAAAAAGCTGAAGAAAACTATCAATCACATACATAAAATATTGTAAAATATATGTATTGGTTTATGATCAGAGGAGTCCAGATTTAAAATGTGAGGAGGTTTCAAATAAAATTATGTTATGGAATAGACTAAATTTAACATACAAGTAAAAAAGGGTTGTTCAGCCAGAACAACTATTTTTTTTAATTGAAATCATTATTTTGCTATCATTTTCTAAGTACATTTTTTAATAGCAGCTAAAAGAAAAAAAGGTATAAAATGGGAGTTTGGGGCATCCACATGCTAGTATAAGGCACATTTAGTCACTGCTCAAACTAAATTAGTATTTCCGAGATTAAATCAACAATAAAATTAAACTACAAGTTTTAAATGGACTCCTCAACTGTACTAATGAGGCCACTGATAGAATGTGATAGATGTGCTAGACATTTAGGAAGGGTATGGATTGCAAGTGGTACCCAGTGCAAATTGAATCATTTGGATTGTTTGGTGATTTGTTATCACAGATCACTTTGATCTATCAGTTTCACAAGAAAGATATTTTCAGGTAAGAGCACTTTGTATTTCAAATGTGGTGTGCGAAAGTACAGTTTAATTAGTTAAAAACACTTTATCTAAAGTTCTACTTGCTCTAAATTCATTGTGCAATAATGGCTAAATCAGTAGCCTACTTGTTTAATAGTTAAGTAATTCAGAATTCTCTAACTTAATTTCTCAACCAATAACTCCTTCTATATATCAAGACTACTTTTACTGGGAGACTACCAGAGCTAGGAAAGTAAACCTAAAGCTGGCCATACATTATACAATTTTCTTATTCAATGTAGTGCAAGGGCCTGCCTGATTGCATACAAATTGAAAGTGTTTAGGTTTGACCTCATATTATATGGTTTTGGTAAATCTAAAGAAAAATTGTAAATTGTAAGAAAATTATATAATGTATGGCCAGCCTAAGGCCCTTCTCTTTCATTTTTTATTTATCATAATTATATCTGTAAAACGTTTCTGTAAGGATAGACCAAGTTATAAAAGATTGTTTCACACAGAAATCCAATCATACAGCATCTCAAGCGCCCTCTACAAGAAAGTACAATCCAAACTCACATGTTTTTGCGTTACAAATGGCTGTGTGTATAAGTGGGTGATGCAGCAACCATCAATTGGTCACATGCCTGATGAAGGGGTCCTGCGAGACTCCGAAACGTTGCCTTGCTGTAACCAGTGATCGTTCATTAAAACATTTGGACCCATATTGGTGATCTTTGGTGTGCTGGTGGCATTCTCCCTTGCTGTACAAGAAAGATGTACATTATGAACATATAGAGAGAGATTTCACTCTGTTACAGCATTTAAACTCACTGGTTATAAGTCATACTCATCTACAAAAGATCAATACTAAATGTGAGTTCCGAACATTTTGTTAACCCAAATAACGTATTTTGTAATAATCTTTAACACTGAATCCAGCACATACATCATTCTATTATTGAGGAAAGGCACTGGCATTTTTCACATTAGGTTCAACTCACAAAGCTAACACACCAAGATAAGGATACTTATTTCCAAAAACAGTGGCAGTTATTTTCGGTTGAGTCCAATTGCATTCACATGGCTAAAATTAAGAAACTTATCCTTGTGTTCTAGCCTAATGATATCAGCCAAAAAACTATGTAAGAAAGCAAAACCAACGCCAACATAGTCAACTCTGATCATAAAGCTGTGGCTTCATATAAATTCATGCAGTGGCTTCATATAAATTCAGATGTCACATTTGCTAAAAGCCATTATTGTGCATTTTTCAACTTCTTGGGATACATGTGGGAAAAATAAACTTAGATAAGTATAAGATCTCCTGCGCAGAGAAGTGACATTATTACAGGTCCCATTAGGGAATACTCTCAAATGCCGGTAATTGAGAAGATGTTGAGCCAATTACTTAGTATCATTGCTGCTGAGTAGTTTATTGCAGTCCTATTAACTTGTGCTTGTATACAGAGCTCTGATTTTGGCTGAAGGAGCTACATCCCCCCACTCCCACCCCAAGGGGCTACAGCCTGAAGGGGGTAAAGAGAATAATTTAGAATATTCTCAACCAGATGTGATTCTGGAGGAGTAGGCTAACAGATCCCCCTATCTCTGTTTACCCAATTAGCACAGTATTAACACACCCTCAGTGATTGCAATTGACACCCAAACAAAAAGGTGTAATAGGATATTAGCTGGGGACACCTCACCCATTTTCCCCATGTTAAATAAATCCTTTTGTATCTCCCAGATCACTATGTGGAACCATTGTCTTATGTCATTACCCCCCTGGTGAACATACTGTAAGGAGGGGCATTTGACTATCAATGGCTGGCACTGGCTTCAGTTTGGTCATTTTACACTATAAAACCTTAAAATACATAAGGACAATAGAAATTCTCCTATTAAGGTCTCATTATCTCTGGAAAAACAGAACACTCTCCAGTTTAAACATTTAGTTCAACTACACAGAACAAAAGTTAAGCAACACCAAATAACACTATATTTTCTTCCATTTAGTGTGGTATCCCTAATAAATACTTGTTGAATAATATATATATATATATATATATATATATATATATATATATATATATATATATATATATATATATATGTGGCACAGTGGCTTAGTGGTTAGCATGTCTGCCTTACAGTAAATGGGTCATGGGTTCGATTCCCGACCATGGTGCCTCCTGCATGGAGTTTGCATGTTCTCCCTGTGCCTGTGTGGGTGTGCTCGTTTCCTCCCACACTCCAAAGACATGCTGGTAGGTTAATTGGCTCCTGTCTAAATTGTCCCTAGTATGTATATGTATGAATGTGAGTTAGGGACCTTAGATTGTACACCCCTTGAGGGTTAGGGACTGATGTGAATGTTCAATATATATATGTGTAAAGCGCTGCATAAATTGACAGTGCTATATAAGTACCTGAAATAAATAAAAAATATATATATTTTTTTTTTAACAAATATTAAAATATTAATTACAATTACCCCGAAGATGACAAAACGCTTACTTTTTTCTGGTAAAATCCACATTACTACCTTAAAATATTACCCCAGCACAGGTTCTTGTAAAGTCTCCACCCTAAATTGAGGGGGAAGTGTACTGGGGAGTAATGGGGGAGGTGTGGAGTGGGTGGAGATTTCCATACACCCTTGATTTAATTAGTTAGTGGTCTGGAGGGGGAGCTTTTAAAGCAAACATTGATCTTACCTGTCCTCAGTAGGCTCAGAAGACTTCTTGGACATATGATATAGTTTTGGAGAACACGGAACAATGAGTCCTACTTTGTGGACTTTTTACGAGGGGAATTAAGCATCGTCTTTGGTGTCTGTATTTTTCAGAAGAATCTAAGGGAGATTTGCTAACTGCTTTAAGACCTTGGTGAAGTCGAGGAGTCCGAACAAGGAGCTAACAAGTTTTCAATCACTAAGGCCTCCAAACACCCAGGTTTTGAAATGATGTCCTACATTAAACAGCCCCACTATGCAGTGAATGGGCTAACATTAGCTGGAACAGGAATGGATCTACTGCACTCGGCAGTGGGATACCCAAGTAAGTACTATACCTTAGTATTGTATGTAATTATTTTTATGTTGTAAGTTATTTGTTGTTGTGTTGTTTTGCTATTCAAGTCTTAGTGAAGAATAGTCTTAGATACAAATATCTTTTGCTATAAAATGTCGACAATTACAAGTACTTGTGAGATATTTATTCGAAACAGCGCTGTGTTATATAGATGAATAGGTGCAAGACAGTCTTAGACAGAAACAACATTAGTTTATTAATAATGTTAGTGTACTAAGGAAAGAAACATAAATTTAACCAGATAGCTTAATTTTCTGAAGTTTTTTGTTCTCTTTTTCCTTGTAGACTGTTATTCTAAATATGATTGGTCTATTGAACAGGGATTTTTTTCCTGTCTGAAAACAAGTTACATCTATCTGATTTCTACTTCTAAAGATATGTATTGACTGCTATTAAGGAATAATTCTGAACTGTGTTACACATTGGGGTAGATTTACTAAAACTGGAGAGTGCAAAATCTGGTGCAAATGTGCATGGTAGCTAATCAGATTCTAATTTCGGCTTGTTCAAGTAAGCTTTACCTAAAAAAAAAAAAAACACAGGATGGTGATTAGTTTCTATGCAGAGCTGCACCAGATTATGCACTCTCCAGTTTTAGTAAATCAACTTCATTATCTCTAATAATAGGCTAGAAAGAAAAGCAGAAATTATTTCCTTTCCTAAATCATCTGGTAATCTATTTAGAAATCATAAGGAAAAATGTAATCATAGACTGGATATTCTATACATCAGCATTATTATTTGTTTAAATATAGCTAATATTTCCTTAGGTAGCACACTGGGTTCATGTTTATTTTAAAAGTATGAACTGATTTGGAACTAAGTAACTGTTTGGTGTCCATAGTTCACCAAAGAAAATGTATTGTTCCTAAAATATTGCATTTCTTTATCTAAACTCTTTCCTTTTTTAAATAATCTCAGCAACTCCAAGAAAACAAAGGAGAGAGAGAACGACTTTCACAAGGGCACAGCTTGATATTTTGGAAGCCTTATTTGCTAAAACCCGTTACCCCGACATATTCATGAGGGAGGAGGTGGCCTTAAAGATAAATCTGCCAGAGTCAAGAGTACAGGTAAGAAACCAATAGCCAATAGCTTATATTATTATCACTAATATATCTGTTCTGATGCCCCTGCAATGGCCACACAAGGCAAGAACTTTAACTGCTGCTTAGATTGATGATGATTAGGTGGTAAAAACAAGGTTGCAGAACTCAGAGAATAGAGAGCACAGAGCTCCAATCTAGACATCTGCAGTCTATGTTAAGCCAGAAAACATGTCTGTGCTCCATTGACAAAAGCAGAACACGCAAAACAATTTCAGACACCAAATGAGATTTTTCAGCCGGCCACAGATGGATCAAATCTCGGCCAGTTCAGCAGGGACCAGCCGAGATTCCAGCCATCCATCTATTGGCAAGTCGACCCATCGATCGGCTTAGGTACAACCAGCATGTCGGATTTTTAGCATCCGATTATCAGTGGCTAGAACCGCTAGCAGCAATCATTGTGTTCTCCGCGCCCCAAGGAGAACACAATAGCTCTGCGGGAGGGATTCCCCCATCAACACTGTCGGTGTTGATGGGGAAATTGAGTGATTTTCTTTCCTCCAACCCATGGTCGCAGGAAAAAAAAAATCACATAATCTACGGGCTGCCTTAGAGTATTTTGGCTGTCTGGCTTTTTAGCTTAGTCAAGCGCCAGTTTAAAATATTAAATTTCTTGTCATATTTTGCCTGCTGTGGGAGAGTACTCCTTTCTGATCTGGAAAATGGCATGAATTAATACATCTCTGTAATACGCTTTAATTTTTCCATACAGTTAGTTGTGAGGAAAGTATACAGTTTGCCATAACTGATTTAATAAAAAAAAATGTTCAAAGAAAAACTTCAACCAATGTGATGCTAATCAAGTTCATCAGGTGTTGGTAATAAGGTGCATTAAATAAAAAAAATCTGTTCTTAAATAGGAATAAGACTACCTCTTAGCATTTTCGTTAAGGAAAAAAGTGTATTATATTAAAAAATCAATGCACATAAAACTTAGTGATACAGAGAATGAGGTCGTACAACCCACAGTTGTTGGGGGAAATGAGTTTGTCTCATGGAAAATAGAAATGTTTGCTTGCTCCCCCCTTATTATACAAACAGAAAAATTGTTGAGATTTTTATGCCCATAATTTTTTCATGGCTTATGTATACTGTATATGGTTGGTGTTATGAATGCGAAGGAAATGTCATGGGGCCCTGCTGGTTTATGCTGTGGTGTAACAACACAGGGTGCAGAAGGTGCAAGTGCTCCTGGCCCCCTACATAAATTCTACATAATTAAACTTTATTTCCCAGTTGTGTGTTTTCACGTTACTTTTTACGAACAAAGAAGATATTGTCTGTTTTTCACATCCTTTACTTTCTGTCATTTCCCAGTTGTCGATTTATTCTGACTATGGACTTTTTCTTCTTTCAGATAACTTTTGTGGATTCTTTAGGAATTAAGGAATTATTTTGATTTTAACAATGGTTGATATTTTTTTTTCTTAAAAACAGAAATCAAAATTTGTTTTGTTAAATGGTTACACAGTGCGTTTGAATTTTTTTCTCATAAACTATTAGGAGGGCCTTGTTTAGACTTTGTTCTAGGGCCCTATAGATTATAGTCCTGCCCCTAGCTTTATACAGTCTTTGTTTGGATTTCATAAACTATCAACTGAGCAAGACTGTCATATAAAAGGTCTGATGCAAACCCACATTGTGACTAGACTCTCATAAATAGTTGAGGAAAGTGGAAAGATAGCACTGGACCCGTAGGGTTACCTTATGTGTGCTGTTATCCTAAGGTATTGATGTTGGTGTAAATGATCTGATTCCTTGGCAGGCAGCTTCTACACCCCAGATGATCTCCACAGCCTCCTTGGCCTGTAGTGTAATGTAACCAGAATTGAAAGTGAAGCGCCACACCAATAAGAATGGAGGTCCAGATAAAGCTTTATTCCATTAAAATTCAGGGGTACAATCCAAAAAAGTAGCCAAAGCTTATAACAGTCAGTTTCAAAGGCTGTCATGGAGGGAGCCATTTCCTGACCCATGTACCTCTCACAAATTCTGGGGCAGTAAAGCTGAACCTGTAAAATAAGTCAATGCCTTGAAAATAGTTTGAGGTACTTGAGTTGTTTCCACGACAGCCATTCATTACAAAAGAGGTACTTTAAAGTAACCCATATCCACATCTGCAAATCAGGGAATATATATTCTATATATTATATATATTCTAAGATTTCCTTGGTGATTTCAGTTGCAAGATTTCTACACAGTAGTTTCTTTTCTATTAATCCTATTTGCTCATAGTTACATTTTACCTTTCAACTTGTAGGTTTGGTTTAAGAACAGACGGGCCAAATGTCGCCAACAGCAGCAACAAAGCAGTGGACAGGCCAAACCCCGTCCAGCCAAGAAGAAAACTTCCCCAGCAAGAGAGACTAACTCAGAAGCTAGCACCAATGGCCAATATAGTCCTCCTCCACCTGGCACAGCAGTGACTCCCAGCTCCACAGCTAGTGCCACAGTCTCTATCTGGAGTCCAGCCTCCATATCGCCAATTCCAGATCCATTATCTGCAGCCACCACTCCTTGTATGCAAAGATCAGCTGGATATCCCATGACATACAGTCAAGCCCCAGCCTACACTCAGAGCTATGGTGGATCCTCATCTTATTTCACAGGCCTGGACTGCAGCTCCTACTTATCTCCCATGCACCCACAGCTCTCAGCTCCAGGTGCCACGCTGAGTCCTATTGCCACTCCCACCATGGGTAGTCATCTCAGCCAGTCTCCGGCATCTCTCTCTGCCCAGGGATATGGAACTTCCAGCCTTGGCTTTACATCGGTGGATTGCTTAGACTACAAAGACCAAACTTCCTCTTGGAAGCTAAATTTCAATGCCACTGACTGTCTTGATTATAAGGACCAAAGTTCATGGAAATTCCAGGTCTTGTGAACCAAGTTGAATACTCCAAAGCTTGATATTCATGAATCTTAATCAACTAGATTCAATGGCATGGCTCTGAAGTCCAGCAGTGGGTAGATAACAAAACACACCAACGTCTAAAACTTCAGTGTTTATTTCTTGGTAGAAGGATATGCTGAAATGTTGTGCTTAGAAACAAACTTCCACTTCTCCTATTATAAATCAAATTTTCTCTGATGTTAATGGGTGTTCAGATCTAGGACATGAAAGCACTTCGGTTGTGGGTAAAAAGAACTTTGTTGTACCATACAGCTGAGTCCAGTTTTGGATTTTGCCTTTGACTATGCATTGTGTACAAAAACCAACAACACCAACTCCACTATCCTCTCCTTAATCATCAGTGTTTAGATTGGCAACAAATGAACAAAGATTTTCTAAATGTTACTAAACATTCAAGAGAGGATCTAGATCTTTGGAATTTTGAAAAGCTACAATTAGAAAAATTCTGTCGTGTCTATCTAGTAAATTCTAATTTACTATACCTATTTCCTTGCTTACAAATTGTGGCAAGACAACACTGAATTGAGGAGATATAGGTGCACCATACATAGCAAGTCGGTATGAGGTTTGGGAGGTGACGCTACCAATGACATACTCATGTTAAGATGTTTCCTTTTTGCCTACCCAGTCTGTCATTCTGTATCCCACAGAAGCTGTCACAAAATTGTTTAAACCACCTAAGCAGCACCATGTAAATCTGGATGTATTTTTTCATGTATTATATTTTTAAAACCAGTTTAACTTATTTTATAAAGAGTCATAGTCCATTCCAAGTGGATGAGGGCTTGTCACCCCCGTTCCTTTAAAAATTAAATGTGTCCCTGTGTACTTGACTTTGTTCTTGTGTAACATTGTATAGTGTTGTTAGTAGTCTGTATGTCTGCTGCCTCAAATGGTTGCTAAGAGAGAAGATTGTTTCTATAGATCTGTTATATTATTAATTATTGTTATTTGAAAAAAGTGTGAAATATCATTAAAATACAATGAATCATCCTTGTGTGTTGATTGTGCATCTGGTTAATACCAACCTGCGAAAGTGAGAACTGGAAAGTAAAAACAGTAACATCTATGGCAATAATTACCGTGTTTGTATTCCCCAACAATGAACTTCACTTATTTACTCCCTTTTGGTCTGTTTATGCACTGCTCAAAAAATTAAAGGAACACTTTTTATTCAGAGTCTAGCATCAAGTCAATTAAACTCCTGGGATATTGATCTGGTCAGTTAAGTAGCAGAGTAGGTTGTTAATCAGTTTCAGCTGCTTTGGTGTTAATGAAATTAACAACAAGTGCACTGGATGGGCAATAATGAGATGACCCTCAAAGCAGGAATGGTTTTACAGATGGAGGCCACTGACATTTTTTTCCTTTCTCATCTTTTCTGACCGTTTTTCACTAGTTTTGCATTTGGCTAGGGTCAGTGTCACTACAGGTATCATGAGGCGATATCTGGACCCTACAGAGGTTGCACAGGCACTCCAACTCCTCCAGGATGGCACATTATTACGTGACCAAACAATCAGAAACAGACTTCATGAGGGTGGCCTGAGGGCACGACGTCCCGCTAGTGGGTCCTGTGCTCACTGCCCGGCACCATAAAGCCCGATTGGCATTTGCCATTGAACACCAGAATTGGCAGGCCTGCCACTGGCGCCCTGTGCTTTTCACAGATGAGAGCAGCTTCACCCTGAGCACATGTGACAGACGTGAAAGGGTCTGGAGAAGCCCTGGAGAACATAATGCTGCCTACAACATTGTTTAGCATGACCATTTTGGTGGCGGGTCAGTGTTAGTCTGGGGAGGCATATCAGTGGAGAGACGCACAGACCTCTACAGGCTAGACAATGGCACCCTGACTGCCATTAGGTATTGGGATGTAATCCTTGGACCCATTGTCAGACCCTACACTGGTGCAGTGGGTACTGGGTTCCTCCTGGTGCATGACAATGCCCAGCCTCATATGGCGAGAGTATACAGGCACTTCCTGGAGGATGAAGGAATTGATACCATTGAGTGGCCCCCACGCTCGCCTGACCTAAATCCAATAGAACACCTCTGAGATATCATGTTTTGCTCCATCCAATGCCTCCAGGTTGCACCTCAGACTCTCCAGGAACTCAGTGATGCTCTGGTCCAGATCTGGGAGGAAATACCCCAAGACACCCCTGCTGTCTCATTAGGAGCATGCCCCAACGATGTCAGGCATGCATGCAAACACGTGGAGGCCATACAACCTACTGAGGACCATTTTGAGTTGCTGCAATGAAATTTCAGCAGAATGGACTAGCATGCTGCATAATTTTTTCACTTTAATTTTCAGGGTATCTTTAAAATCAGTCCTCTGTAGGTTGATAACTTTCATTTCCATCAAACGATGGGGCATCCTTACGTTCCTAACACATTACCCAGTCCATGTCAGTATAGATATCCAGCATGATATTTTCTCCCATTGAGATCTGATGTGTTTTCAAAGTGTTCCTTTACATTTTTTGAGCATTGTATATATACTGTATATATACCATTGAATATGTTTTGTTATGACTGTTTAATAAGTGCAACAAAATACCTTTTGATAACGTAAACAAAATTCAGAGCTGTCCTGTATGGATTTCTCACTTCCTCTGTTATTTGAAAGACAGTAATTATCCCTCATAGTTTTTATCTTAGAACTACAGAATGTTTAGCCTTTAAGTTGTGAAGACAGGAGAGTAGGTGGGTCTGAGTAGTTCGGCAACAAAAAACTGGGTAGGGCTGACATCACTCCACAAAAATGTGTGTTGTCCATCCACGTCAGGATTTCAGTTCTGAGCACATTTCTGGCAGATCAACAAGTATTCTGTAGTTGTAGGTTCTTGGGGAAATGTGTATGTATTGAACTATACTATATGTTTATATATTTCTTTGCCCTAACATACATTTTAACTTTGTATGGTAGATAAGTAAATCTATAGGACAACTTCACCAAAATCCATATATTCCATTTTTAGGTAGGCAGAGGTTGGTTAAATCACCACTAAGATTTCCTTGGTGATTTCAATTGCAAGATTTCTACACAGTAGTTTCTACAAAGCCACGGTGAAGAGAGTAAATGTATTTACTTAGCTGGACAAAGCTTGTCTGTGAGAGCCCTGAGACTTAAAAGCAGCTACTGCATGCTGGGAACCAAACAAATCTGCAATCAGATTCTCCTTATGGGTTTGGGAAAATAAAAGGTGAGACATCACCAACAACAGAATCAAATATAGAGCATCTGTTCTTATAGTATCACTCCCTCTTCCACTAACCTAGCTAAATGTCACTGCTTTGTAATTGCTCAAGTAAAGCCCAGTACACGTGCCAAAATTTTAACCAATTAAACCCGCGCCAAAGAAAATCAAAACCTCAATAAATAATTGCTGCTGCTCATAGATGCAAATAACACCAACACAATGTAACCAAACCGCAGCGCAAAAAAAGTGTGTACATAAATAAATTAAACAATAAAAAACATATACCAAAATTTGGCTGGATCAGCAGGAACTGTCTGACTTTTGGTACATGTGTACCACTATCTATTCAACAGAATCTGATCTAATGACCTGCTTTTGTTGAATGGTCATGCTGGAAAACCAGCATTCGATTAGTGCTTGCAGCCAATGGCTGCAAGTGCTGATCTGTGTATTCTGACTGTTGGGGGGGGGACCCCTGTCAGGATACAATAGAACAGCAAAAGAGATCCCTGCATCAATTTCATGTGCTGATGCAAGGATCTGTCAGGTTTTTATGGTTGAACCCAGTTTAACAGTATGAAGCATTTCAGCAAGCTAGTGCTCTTCCAGAGATCCTCTTTCTGATGAGCTGCCATCAACGACAGGATTGCTATTGTGATATGGTCCTGAAGGTGGCCACACAACTCAGATGGACAATCTCTGTGCAATCTCCCTTTAGATTTACCAACAATGATGTATTGTTAAGACCTACCTAAACAAGTTCTTTATCCTGGCAAACCCTCAAACTACATAATTGTTGAAATATATAAATAAAATTATACATTAAAGTAGACCTTTAATTATATTTATGTTTAAGCTGTTTATTAGGGTTTCAGATCACACAGATCAAAAAGGATATTCATAAACAATTCATCTGAGTATATAATACATCATAACAAACACGGAAATGCAAAAGTACAATAGTACAGCACAAATCCAGTAACTTCAGATATCAATATTGGGACTATGAAAAGGAGAAAGATAAACAAGGTTATACATACGGTATAATAAAGAGTTTGATCACAGAGTTTCATCTAATCCTGAGTTGCCCAACAGTATATCAAATACGAGTGTAAGCTAGCGGTGGCCCCCTCTCATATGTTTTTTTTCCTGAGCAGTGTGTGCATATGGGAACAGTGTGTTGAACAGGGGAAGAGAAACATGAATGATATAGAAGGCAAGGGTAAAGAAAAAAAGGGAGGAGGGAAAGATAGAAGAGACACAAAGGTACGCACACATGGACTGCATGTAGCCTGTTCAAGCCCTGCCCTTGAAGGCTGAAATTTGCAGAGTGTAAAAATGGGACCATTCAGGTGAGTTGACAGGACTCACTTCTGTTCCCTCCCAGGCTATCATGCACCCCAAATGGTCAATTCTCTCCATTTTGCAAGCCTGACCCTTGACTATATTTACAAGTCTACATGAATAAATGCTTGATATGTCACAATGTACAGCAATCATATCATTTAAAAAAAAGAATTTATACCTTTTACTGTTACAAAGCAGTCTTTTAGCTTTAAATCAGCCATACATTTATCAAAGTTTGGTCTGTTTGTCAGGGACCGACCGAGATTGGATCCATGTATGGACAAGTTGATTGTATCCAAGGCAGTCCATTGATCAACTTGCGTACAACCAGGGGCAGACTGACAACTCATGGGGCCCCCGGGCAATAGGGGATCATGGGGTCCCTGTGTCCTTGCCCAAACTCAAAAAAGCCTA